GAGCTTTCACCCTTAAACTTAGACTTAGTCTTGGTCTTAGACTCAAACTTAGACTTAGACTTAGACTCGAACTCGAACTCGGACTCGAACTCAAACTCAGACTCGAACTTAGTCTCGGTCTAGGTTTCAGACTCAATATTGGGCTTGATCTCAAACTCGATCTTAAATCAATCTTGGACTTAGTCTCAAACCTGATCTTGGACCCAGTCTCAAACTCAAACTCGGATTCAGTCTTGGACTTAATCTTGAACTCAATCTTGGACTCAATCTTGGACTCAGTCTAAGACTTAGTCTCAAATCTGATCTCGAACCTAGTTTCGAACTCGGTTTCAAACCCAGTCTCAAACCTGATCTCAAACCCAATCTTAGACTCAAACTTGGACTCAAACTCAAACTTGATATCGGTCTTGACACTTCCATGTATCACAACACTTACCACGTGTTTATCATTATTTTATCCCTATGTAGAGACTTGATTACTGATCATTTTATACTCATTCCTTAAGCACTTATTTAGGAGTTCTACTTTTACTCTCAACTTTTTGAGTTAAAGTTTTTGGTCCAAACATATTATGCTTATTAAACTTCCATTTTGCCATTACTATATAGATCACCTTCAACTCCACTTTGGGACTTAGGGATTTGTGTTAAGAATTTTAAACCTGCTAGGTAGAATTAAGAGCCTCAGTTTGGGAGGTGATTAAAAATGAATGTTAGGTAATATAGAGGGAAATAAGAGTCTAAGTGGTGGTGGTTAAGAAGTCCACTTACACCATTCTGTTTTGAGGGACAAAGGTAAACCTAAGAGACTGGATGTATGGGGCAGTCGATGGCTTCCATCCTTCGGCATGGCTGGGGTTGACGGGATTCATTGGAGGTGGTGACCACCAAACACCATCCTCAAAGTGGCCAGGAGGGCAGATATTGATCCCAACACAATCAGACAACCTTGACCTCTTTTGTTGCAGGAGTAGGAGTATCAAGCATACAGGAACACTAGTAGATAGCACTCTGAGGGGTTGCATTCCCCAATTTTTGTACTAGTCCCTATGGGACATTGAGGGAATGTACATATACATTTCAATGAAAGCAGGTTACTTTCTTTGTAGTAGTGACTTATATTTCTCTGTCACTTCTTTCAGATGATCATAGCAGGCATGGGCAAGGAAATTCATTGCTACATCTCTGATGATTTTCACAATGTACAATGCTGCTTGCAGGTGCATTGGGAGTGGGTTAGAACATAATACCTAGCCACAGAAAGGCATATCCTTTGGAGTGATGGACCAACATCACAAGTCAGGAACAATAAGATGCTTCTTTTTCTTGGGAGATATCATTCAGCCACAGGGATTCAGTTTGAACATAACTTTTTTGGTGCTGGACATGGCAAGGACACAATGGGGACACTCGAGATGAACAGAGCTGAGTCCAAGCGCTGGGAGACTTCTTCCTCGTTTGGCTCTACTCAAAGTATTAACCTCTGGCTGCTGGACTTCCTGATGACGAAGTAGCATGTGTCCGGAGGCAATACCGGGTCCTGAGAGCTATCGGGCGACGAAATTGGTGGCTCTATTGTGTTGTCATCTAGAAACTGAGGATCCTCAATAGGATGCTCCATTTGTGAAGAGAACACAAATGTGACATTCAAAGCTCATACATATGAGCATATGAGCATTGAATGTCACATTACAACCAGACATTTACAAAGATGGCAGAACGTCATCTCCACACTTGATGAAACTACCAATCATAGCTTGTTCAGAATGTCCAGCACTTGCAGGCTCACAGCTATCTTCACAACTTGTTGTGAGGTTGTGTTCGTTTGAAAGTTAGCCATCATGAACACCTTTCTCATTAGTACCAAAAGCACACAGTTGTTGAACCTGAGAGGTGGTTGCAAGCTTGTCGCACACTGAGACTGATGAAAATGAAGATCCAATATTGAGACATGCTGTGAACTTTTGAGCAGATTCCTTCCATGTCTCAGCCTTTTGGAAATTGTCTCTAGATAACTTAATTAGCAGCAGCTGCATCGCCTGCAACACAAAAAGTATCTAGAACTCCAGGATGTGAGAAGCAAATACTCTGTTTGATTGATTTGTCATTGCTTGTGTGCGAGACAGTTGGGTGAATAGAGTTGACAAGCGTCAAACGAGTCCAGCTCTATCAGTTATTGATAATGCAAAGTCACTGCATTGGTTAGCCCAGAAGCAAGATTGCTTACCATGGTCACTTACTAGCATGGGTATGCACGATGCTCATATCACTATGTTGCTGTCTTGTAAGGCTGAGCAACTTCTTTGCTGTACAAAGAGCAGGGCAACAATCTCTGGTTTTCATAGCATCACTAAGTCGTATGTTGGGTTGGCCAAGTGCCTTACACTGCTCAACAAAGGTAATCAGCCTGCATGGCTGAGTCCCTATGAGAAAAAATAGATGACTGGCTTCCTCACACAGGTTTGAAGCTTGTAAATCTAAGTGCAATCTACCATGTGAAGAGCTTTCATGCTACTAAAGTTAGTAAAAACGAAGTACATGCCTGAAGCTTTCGTGATAACACTTGTAGTGTGCTAAGACGAGTCCTGTGAGCCATTCAATTGCTCAAGGTGGCCCGCAACCAGCTCGCATGCCGAAATGGGATGTGCACGTACAGCTGGCCACCGCAATATTGTTCATAGAGGGCATTCTCGAATCAGAATGGTACCCTTCTCGACCATGTCGTCTTCTAGCATGCTGATGGGGTTACCAGACTTGTTGTATAGCAGCGCTGTCTTGAGAGAAGCTAGCATCTTGGGCTGAATCTTCAATTGAGCACGCATTCGACCATGTTGGCAGTCCAACACATCATATTGCTTCTGAGATCTGAATCCTTCAGGCAACCTCAAGCTGAGATTTAAGCTGCTCAATTTGCATGTCCAGCATCATAATTGTGGCTGATCTGAGCTACATGAGTCTGATTGGCGCTCCTCCAGAGTAGCCAAATTGCGCCTTATCTCAGCTACTGCCATTCAACTTTTAAAAAACTCCATGATCTTGCCTTGCAACTTTACCTCAATCTTAGGGAAGCACTGTTTATCAGCCTTGTAATGATATTCATGCATGTGAATCAACCGTGCACAATTTGTGTTTTGTTGAGCTTTCAGTAGAGACTTAGAGCTGCTTCATTCCATCCTGTTTCTGCTGCACATTCTTAATTGCTGAAACCAGAAACTCTTCTCCTTGACAGGTTTAGCAGACTTCTTCAACGTAGTAGCACAAATTGTGGCCAATTCATCCGTGAATCGTTACTGCTTCGATTTGCCTTTGTACGCTCGCAATCGGATCATCCATAATCTTTATATCTACTTTATCTCTGTCTAAACTCTTCCTAGTGTGCGCTCATTCTTCTTTCTTGGATCATGTATTGGACATAGAACGATCGACCGAGCAGACCGCCTTGCTGCAGGAGAGGACCATAAGGACTTCGACAACCTTCAAAAGCAGCACCAAGATGCAGAGATTAAACGACCCAGTCAGATCGGAGCCTTGTCAGTCAGAAATGGAGGGTATGGAAGTAACAACATCAAATTTAAATCCGAGCAACGAGATGAATCTAGCCAAGAAGCAACATAGAGAAAGCTAGAACAGAGCTTTGTGAGCATCAAACCTCGTGCAATGGCACGAGTACTGGGATGTGCTCAACGAGAGGACCACCCTCTCATACTTCCAATGGTTTCCACAGCTCCCGAGAACCTTGCTCTCGCCTCCATCCGCCATAAAAGAATACTAGGGTTGAGCAGGCACCGCGAGAAATCTCCGGACATCAACGACAAATGACTTGTGTCGAGGTGATGAATGCAGGTGAGAAGACAACGCAAAGTGGCAAAGGAAGAAGCCGACTCCGATGAAGCGTAAGACTTCGATGTGAGTGAGTGATCTTGCTCTTTGTCAGCAGGTGATAGTAGAAGCCAAGAGAATGCAAGCTAGTACACAGGAGCCCAAAATTACGTTCAAGTGTCCTTTCAAGTGTCTCTCTAACCCTGAGGTCCTTCACTCAGGTGTGCTTGACCCCCCGTGTTCCGCAGTTGCTTGTAGCTAGAATGTCTCAATAAAAGAGGGAGAACCACTGGTTGCAAATGGTGAGTACATTTCAGTGGTTGTATCTGAAAGCAGGGCATGCCCTGCGCATTGTGGGCAGGAAAAATATACCAACTCCTGAGGACAGATGGGAAGGGTATTTGAAGCTTTTCCTCTTCTGGGAATTAAGCTTTTGGCCGATGCCAACGGTGAACAACCTCTGTCTCTCTTTACACAGATAAATCCTCCATACTGGCAGAATGCCTCTTGTATTGACATTTTAGAGCTGGTCTCTGGATCCTGATATGCTTCAGGTTGGCAACGGGCGCTTAAGTCTCGCGGCGTTCCCATTTAAACATCTGGAAAACTCCTTCGAGTGTTGAGCTGATTTAAATCCTTGAAACAGGTCTGGGCAGGGCCCCTCTCTGGCAAAAGAATCGTTGTAGCACTGGATTGGCAGAGAGTTTCCATCAAAGTCAAATTGACCTGGGATTGGAGTGTGACACCGTGCTCGAGATTTATGGAACGCAAATCACGGTGGCACTAAACCTCGAGTTTACTACTCAGCATGAAAATTGGAGGACGGTTTTGGGGTCGAAATTGATTGTCGTGACTGTAGAGCTTACATTCTCTTGGACGACGGTGATTTTTCTGTCTAGGGAAATTTTGGGATGGTAACCTTGGTCCTTACATCTAACAGACGAGAAGCAGACTGTTGTACTGAAGAGCAAAGGTGAATTGCTTGTGAAAGGGAATAAAAACACAGAAAAGAAAGAAGAAAAAGAATACTTTTTCTCTCTTCCGCAAGTTTCGACGTTAAATACTGGAACAGTGAACAGCGCTGCAGCTTGTCACGGGCCTGTGTTCCAGCGGATGTGTAAGTATAAATACAGAGCTCTCTGATACGCTTGTCTTTCCTTCTCAGACAGGGAGAGGGAGAAGGAATGACAATGGCCCTTTGGAGGCTTGTCACACTAGTGGTGGCGTTCCTGGTGGTCGATGCAAGATCAAGTGGTCGCTCCAAGTATGCTGGAGGAGGAGGAGGAGGAGGAGGATCGAGCTCAACAATCGGGCACAAAAGCGGAGGAGATGGAGGAGGTCCAGCAGCAGCACCTGAGCCAAGCAATGGAGGATATGGCTACTACAGCACCAACATCTACGACGTTCTCTCTTTTGGAGCTAAAGGAGATGGAGTCACCGATGATACGCACGTAAGCGGCAGGCTTTTCTTCTTCTTCTTTCTCGGTTTCCTCACATTGTCTGGCCTCAGGCATTCCTAGCAGCTTGGAACCAAGCATGCAAGGTGGAATCCTCCATGGTTGAAGTTCCTGCGAATTTTGTGTTCTTGGTGAAGCCGCTTGTCTTCTCGGGGCCATGCCAAAACAATCTCGTCTTTCAGGTCTGTTTGTTCTGAAATCCCTACAGTCAGAGTGTTGTCTCTTAAAAGGCTCTCTCTCTCTCTCCCTCTCTCTCTCTCTCTCTCTCTCTCTCTCTCTCAGGTGGATGGCACCATCGTCGCTCCAACTAGCGCCAAGGCCTGGAACGGAACGAGCTTGCTCCAATGGATCGAGTTTGCGAGAGTTCACGGATTACTCCTCCAGGGGAGCTGCACTGGCGCGATAAATGGAAATGGCCCTGCGTGGTGGAATTCTTCTTGCAAGGCAAAGGTAAGGGACTAGAAATAAGTTCTCTGACGCCTGGCAAATGGAACTTGCAACTTGATTTCGCAGGGTCACAAGACATCCAAATCCTGTGATATCCCAACTGTAAGTTAGTTCCAACAACTACATACATATTCTTTCAGATCTTACGCTCGGACTGCGTGATAATGTGAGTCCCCTGCCCCTGCGCAGGCTGTACGCTTCTATGGCAGCAGCAACGTGGTTGTGCAGCACTTGGCCATTGTCAACAGCCCCCAAACGCATCTCAAGTTCGACAGCTGCCAAGGTGTCGTCGTCAACAATGTGACCATCTCTTCTCCCTACACCAGCCCCAACACCGATGGGATTCACCTGCAGGACACACGATACGCGGCCGTGCGGAGCTCCCGGGTGTCAACTGGTAAGCAAACGGTCGAGGAGAAAGAGTTTAAGTTTTTGACAGCTCGAGATTGTGCAGGAGACGACTGCGTTTCCATCCAGACTGGCTGCTCCAACATTGAGATATTCGACATGATGTGTGGTCCGGGCCACGGCATAAGGTACCTTGTAGACACACAAGTTTTTCTCACACACTCGCGCTCTCTTGTCCAGCATTGGTGGGCTGGGACGAGGAGGAACCAAGGCCTGTGTATCCGACGTCTCCGTCCACGACGTTGTAGTTCACACCTCCCAGAACGGAGTCCGCATCAAGACCTGGCAGGTTCTCTCGTTTCTTGTTTCGGTTCCTTGTCATACACAAATGCTCGTGCAACCAGGGCGGGTCTGGCTCCGTGAGCAGCGTCCATTTCCACAACATCGCCGTGCTCAACGTGAGCAATCCGATCGTCATCGACCAGTTCTACTGCGACGGCCGGAGCTGCCACAACCAGACATCCGGGGTCTCCATCTCGGACGTTTCCTACAAGAACATCCGGGGCACCTACACGCAGAAGAGCAACATCCACTTTGCATGCAGCGACAGCGTCCCCTGCGTCGGCATCGTGGTGGCCAACGTCGAGCTCCTCTCAGCCAGGGGCTACGACGACATTCCAGCCTTTTGCTGGAATTCTTACGGCGAGATCTTCTCACCCACGGTCCCACAAGTGACTTGCTTGCAGCAGGGCAAGCCCAAGCTCGGCCAGGTGCAATCAAGCTACGATGGCTGCTAGCTATCCGTTCATTAACTTTGCTAGCTAGTGCTAGAGGTCATCCATCACACGTCTCCCCACGCGAGACTGTCACACGGTTGCGATGCAGGATTTGTATTATAGCCGCTGGAGTGTTTGTTGTGTCCAAACAAAACCTGCGTTAGAGATACATACAAAGACGATGCGCTGCGAAGTCTCTTTTGGCAAAAGTGGAAAGCAACCAAGACTTCAACTTCGGCGTGTCAGCTTTAGGTAGGCCGCAGAGCCGAGCTGCAAGAGCTGAGAAAAAGGGACGTCTCCATTCAAAACAGCAGCGCCAAGAAAATGTGCTCCTGTCATTCCCACATGGAAAGTCACCATCCAAGATAATTCATCTTAGACTGGAAAAAACGAAAGAAACCATTACTACAAAATCTGATGGAGCTACAAAGGTAGAGCCACCACCAAAGGCCTGAAAAACTCTCTCCCTCTCCAATCCAACCAACTAACGGAGATCAACACTGCCACTGATTGCCGAACACCAAACTTTCTTCTTCTGATCTTTTTACATAAAATCTGCTGCTGCTACCGCGGCTGCCGGATCTTCTTCCATGACTAGCTCATTATTTTTTACAAGCAAAAGGAAGAACGTAGAAAAAGATAAAAAAGAAAAACGAAAGGAAAAAAACTGGAACCTCAACGATAGATGGATGAGCCAGTCCTAAGGAATCTACATCAAAACCTTCGCTTGAAGAGGTGCTCATCATCTTCCTTGCCTCTCTGTGTTACCCTCACGTGTTTTACAGTTTCGTCGCTTCCTCGGAACCCATTACAATCCCTGTAACAGTAGTAACCATTAGGAACAATACAACAGAGAAAACTCGAGTTACAAACCGATTTCTTTGCCTGGATCGTCCGGAGTGTTCCCTTCTTCGCCGAACACTATAGGACGACATTCGTTCATCAGGCTCGAGTTCTGGAAATGAGCCACAAGAGCGGCTTTGCCTTGAATTCGAGCATAAGCTACCGATGCAACCTTCTCACTATTAAACTTTTCCCATTTCTTGCCATTAAAAGCCTGGATAACAGACAACGGTAAGCGTCGCGATCCAAGCCTGCTGTGTTGCTTACCTTATAAAACGAGACAATGTAGGAAGGCTCTATCATATTCACAAAAGCGTACCCCACATTGCACTTGTTCTGCGTTGCAGCGTAAGGTTAGTCCAGAATATCATATGACAAATCACACACCTTGAAGTCGATTGGTAAGTAGATAAAATCGTAAGTGCCCTGGTTTGCCTCATCGATCACTGCCAAGAGCATCTTCGACGTGTATCTGCAAACACGAGCCTCAGAACACAAACCACTCGTGACTCTCGAGCGTACTCACTTGTTCGGAATATTTTTAAGCATGAGCGTCGTACGCTTGTCCTCTCCGCTGACTATACGATCCAGGTCCAGGTGAAACTGTTCTTTGTCCGCTGCGTTACTGTCGCCTCTGCGGCTTCTGTGCCGGCTGTTGAATCGGCCCACGCCGCTGGAAAGAGCGCCCTTCGACAAATCACTCTTGCGATCAGGATGACTTCTTGACCCCAGCCTCAGTGACCCTGTAAGCCCGAGGTATCCTCCAGGCGCCGATTGCCTTAAATACCCGCGCCTTCTGTCTCGTAACTTCTCACCGTAAGGTAGGCATCCTACTTGAGGGTAAGCCAGGACCGGATTGAGTAAGTGGCTCTGCAGGCTGCAACCATGAACCTTTGGATGACCATACAAATGAGCTGATGGTGGCCACAGCAACGGAGAGCTCTGCGGAGCATTGCCCCACAGGAAAGGCGAGCTTGGCGTTGTCACCAATCCTGGTCGAGGATTTACTGCCAGGCCTGAGAAACAACACAGAATTGAGATCCACAAGAGGTGAGGAAAGAAAGGCGCTACCTCTATGCTCGTAACCAGGACTCCTATGAAGAGGCATCTCTTCCAGTCCTTCACGTGCACGTAAAGCTGACATGGCCGAGCTCTGCCGAATATGGTTCATAAGGCCGTAATCAAAATCCGGATACGAGTGATAGCCCAGCCCAACATCACCAGCTTTTCCCATGACGGAGGATGGTGAAGATAAACCACCCGCCAGGGAGTTCCAAGGGTGGCTAAACGACGCAAACTTCGCCTGCTGGTGAAGCTCCCTCAAAGCCTCGCTTTCACTATAGCCTGCAAATGAAGGAAAGTAAATGCTAAGAGCAAAGGAAAAAAAGATTTGTCCAACCTGTCGCATTGAACAGATGCTGAGACTGCACGAGAGGATCATCGTTATCAACGTCATCGTTGAACTGCAATATTGAGCTGAAGGTAGGGAAGGTAAGCTTTACTAGCAGCGGATAACTTCACCAGCACTTCATACCTCGGGTCCAGTCGAGTTCGCCTGGCGAGTAGATCACGCTTATTCAGAACCCGAAGCGCAGCGCATGCAGCTCGTGAATCATAGAACTCGATGAACCTGTGTCGATGTTTAAGCGGCGTCTCGTGGACCTGCTTACAAAACAAAAACGGCCAGCTTACAAACGCCATGCCTAGCAGTATAGATGGTTTACCTCCTTGATGTCCCCATACACTCCGAAAAGTTCTTTGAGATCGTCGTTTGACACGGCGGGATCGACATTGAAAACCGCAACCATGCCAAGGCTTGTGTCGTATGGGTGACTATCCTGCAAATTGTCCAGTCTCAGTATACAGCGAAAACAAAGGTAGGTAACGCACCTTTGGAAATAAGAAGTGCATCTCCAACTTTTGGCCCCACAGCACCCGGCTCTGGAGCGCACGTATCGCGCGCTTGGCACCCCGCAAATCGTAGTAGGAGACTAAAATCAAACCTTCGGGTTTACATCCAGTGTACAGCGTACGAATGTCACCAAAACGCTGCGCACACGAGGAAGCATTCAAGGTCAGTAAGCCCGCAGGCGGCGATAATTCCGATACTCACCTCAAAAACAGCTCTAAGCTCGTCATCCGAAACTTTACTATCTATATTCCGTACAAAAATCGTGCGCGAAGTCGGTTCTTCGGCAGAAAAGCCATCACCGTCGAGTTCAAGGCCCCCTCCGTTGCTGAAAAAGTCGAGATCCTCTGAATCCTGGGTGCTGGACGACCCCGGTGGCATATCAGTGAGAGCACCGGCCAACAACTCGTCGTCGTCAGGAAGCAGACTGCCGATAGCATGCAGCTCCAGTTCTTCCAGAGGAATCTCATTGTCTTCAGGTTCCTCGTCGGCCTCCGATGAGGGCGGCTGTTGAACATCGAGCAGTCCTACTGCAAACACAGGCAAACAATGGTAAGCAGAGAATGTGCGAGGGAGGCTTACGAAAGCTTACGTTTGTTTCGGAACAAGTCAGGCAATGAACTCGAGAAAATGTTCACGCCAATGTTGTCACCTGCCTTGTCGACGGCGGCGGCGGCGGCAACGGCGGCTTCCTGTGTCATCTGTGGGGAAGCAAGACCGGATGGCACGCTCCGGTGCTCGGGCACGTCATCGCTTACCGCCCAGCTCGCGCTCTTCTCCTTGTCCTCGGACCAGTGATCCTCCGGTGGCAACTCGTCTCCCTTTGCAGGCCCCCCACGGAACCAAGACCAGCCCCCGCTCTCAGAAAACGCCATGGAAATGGATGGAGCAGCCGACGTAGCACCGCTGTGAAACGTGTTTCCCGACCCCATAAGCCTCGACGAAGCTCCTCACCGTCGCCCAAAACCTTGAATGGCAAAAAAGACGAGCACGAGTATAAACCCTCTGTATGCGCGAGCTACACAGCTACATTTTGATGCGCTCGCGCGTCGCTAGCTCATCCCCTTTGGATGGAAACTACATGCAGCGAGAGAGCGAGCTGGGAAGGAGGAGCCAGAGGAAAGAAGGGACGCCTACATTCCCTTAAACCCTAATTTCCGGGAGACAAATCGGAGAGACGATCGAGGAACTTACATGGTTCGCGCAGCCACGGCGATAGCTCCTCTTGTCCGCGCTCCGCTTTGCCGCGCGCCCCCTCTCCCGAGCACAAAAACCCTTGCCCTCGTTCGCGCTTAACGAACCATCCCTAGCTTACCTCTCACAAACATTATACCCGTGCCGAGCATATACCGCCCCTCCCACTTAAATACTTTCCTTTGATAGACCTAATCATCATTTTGCCACATCATATAGTTTATGTCCAATGTCCAAATGATGTTAAAATCGCATCTCTAGGGCTCTTTTATTCCAACAATGGTGCGAATCCAAGAAGAGGAGGAGGAGGAGGAGACGAAGAGGGCGCCGCCCGGCGTCGCCGCCGAGGGGTGGGAGACGGCTAGCGATGGCGAGGATCGGTTCGAGGACGCACTGACGGAGGATCAGCAGCGCGAGGTGAGAGAGATTCCAGGTCGATTGATTGATCCCGATTCCCGACTGGCCCCTTGTTTCCAGAGGGATGTTCCCCTGGCAGAGCGTGCCAAGGCCGAGGGGAATGCGGCGTACGCGCAAGGGAGGTATCGAGACGCGCTCGCGGCCTACCAAGGTGCTTTGGAGCTCTTGGCTGACAACAACAACACAAATGCAAAGGAAATCTGCTCAATGTGTCTGTGTAACCGGGCAATGTGTTATCTACAGATTGTGAGGGAGCTTGGGTGTTGCTCTTTTTGATTCTCATCACTTTGCTTTTCTTTTGCTGGCAGGACGAGTACGAAGAAGCAGTTCACGAGAGTTCCAAAGCCATCGAATTGAATCCGGCTTACATCAAGGCATTCTTAAGGAGAGCGCAAGCTCACGAAAAAGTGGACAAGCTAGAAGACGCCCTTGCCGGTAGGCTAAGCTAAGCTTTCTTCCTTGGCGGACAACCTCTTACTTGATCATTACAGATATGAAGAAGGTGCTGGAGCTTGATCCGGCAAATAAAGAAGCAGCCAAGGCGGTGAGACGATTAGAACCAGTTGTAGCCGAGCGACGTGAAAAGATGAAAGAAGAGATGCTGGGTAAGCTTTTTGGTTGATGAGAATGGAGACTAATAACCTGGACTCCAGGGAAGCTCAAGGAGCTTGGAAACTCTGTCCTGGGTCGATTTGGTATGAGCGTTGACAATTTCAAGAGCGTTAAGGACCCGGAAACAGGCTCGTACTCCATCTCCTATCAGCCATAAGTAGCGCTAGTCGGCCCAATCTGTGTCTGTTTCGTCACCAGTAATCACCACACGAGCAGGTTCCGCTGGTGAAGTGGTGGTAGCGACTCGAGTCTCTCATCAGGATGTCACGTCCAGTCACCTTGGATATCAACTTGGTTGCTGTATGGCAGTCGCTGCAGACGCGGAGGTTCTTGATCACTCTGAGGGGTGATCCACTGGGGGTGCTCATCAGTCCAAATGCAATCGCCAGCTTCTCACTGTGCCTCATGAGCAGCCTCTCCTTGTGCTCCTGGCTCACATCGTGCAGCACCAGCCCAGTGTCAGCGACGTAGCCAGCGGCCTTGATACTCCAGTGAAGCCGTTCCAGTTCCAAGTAGATCTCCTCCGACTTGGGATGGGACTTATCTCCGGCCGAGAAAGAATGCAGCTCCTGGTTCACCTCCACAGCACTGCAGCCGGGGTCTGCTCGAATTCCTTTGTCCAGCATTGTCTTGCGGATAGTGGCGGCCTCATTCCACCGACCCGCAGCAGCATACATGCTCGCCAGAACGATGTAACTCGACGCCACCTCGGGGTCGAGCTGCATTATCCGCTCCGCGCAGCGCTCTCCTCTCTCCAGCTCCTTGCTGTTCTTGCAAGCATCGAGAAGAGCCATCCAGGTGATCACGTCGGCTTGGGACGTCCTTTCCAGCAGCTTCTCGGCCTCGTCCAGTCGCCCACACCGTCCCAGCAGATCGACGATGCAGCTGAAGTGCTTGGAGGCGGGAAGGATGCCGTGGTCGGGTGTCATGCCGGACAGGAGCTCGCATCCTTGCTCGAGCTTCCCACCATGGTTGCAAGCTGTGAGAGCACTGATGAAAGTTACGTGGTTGGGCCTCACGCCCTGCTGCTGCATCGTCCAAAACAGCTTGAGAGCCCTCTCCGCCTGGCCATACTGCGCGTACCCGGCGATCAGGCTCGTCCAAGCGATCACGTCCTCTTGGTTGCTACTCGACTTGTCAAAGATGGCTTGTGCGTCGTCCAAGCTTCCGCACTTGGCATACATGTTGAGCAGCGCGTTTTGGATCACGGTGTCCGACTCAAACCCGTTGCTCACGACACGGGCGTGGATCTCCCGGCCTTGGGCGATGCTCGTCCGGCTAGTACTCGCGTCCAAAACCGCAACGAAAGTCACCTTGTTTGGTTTCACCAGCTTCTCGGCCTCCATCGCCTGGAAGAGCTCAAACGCCTCCTTTCCAAGCCCGTGGTGTCCGTAGGCCGCCAGCATCGAGTTCCAGGTGATACAGTCCCGGCGAGCGGGAGATATCCTTTCAAACACGGCCCGAGCATCAGCCAAGCTTCCACACTTGGCGTACATGTTGAGGGTGGCGTTGGCGACTGCAGTGTCTCCCTCGAGCCCGGCCTCCTCCAGCAGCGACTGAATCCTCTTCCCAATCGCGCTAGCGGTTTGAGGAGGATAGGCAGCACAGGCAGTGAGAGCAGTGATGAAGGTTGCAACACTTGGTCTCACGCCTTCCAGCAGCATTCGCTCGAACAGAACGAGCGCCTCTCGGGAACGGTGGTGCTGGAGATAGGCCGCAGCCATGGCGTTCCACGACACGACGTCGGGACTCTGGATGGCATCAAACGTGGCTCTTGCTCGCGGCAAGTCGTTGGATCGAGCGTAAGTGGTGAGCAGCGTCGTGCCGAGAACGTTGTCCCTGGTGGCCGAGACGACCTCCATGGCCTGCTCGAGAACGAATGCGGTGGCCGACCCAACCTGCAGCATGGAGCAGGCATTGAGCACCGAGACGAGCGTCACTCCACTGGGCTTTGTTCCTTCCAAGTTCATCGCGAAGAAGAGCCGGAGTGACTCCTGGGGCCATCCATTCTGCCAGCACGCCGAGATCATGGCCGAGCATGTCACCAGACTGGTGCTGGGCTCCTCGTCGCCCTTCCGGAGGAACACTTCCCACGCGTCGTCGAGGCTGCCAAGTTTCCCATAGCTGTCCACCAGCGCCGTGCGAACGAAGGCCTCCCTCTCGATCCCAGCGCCCACGATCCTGCCGTGGATCGCCCTCACGTCCTCGAGCGACAAGAGCCCCGCCTCCACGCACGAATCCAGGACGCTGACAAAGGTGACGCTGTTGGGTGGCGGAGCTCCGTCGCGGTCCATGTCCCGGAACAGCTGGAGCGCCTCTCGCGCGGATCCATTGCGGAGGAACGCCGAGATCATGGCATTCCAAGTCACGACGTCGCGCTTGGAAGCTCTTGGCAACCGATCGAAGGCCTGTTTCGCGTCGATGAGGCTCCCACACTTGCTATACATGCTGATGAGCGCATTGCCCAGTACGGAGTTCTCCTCGAAGTCGCGGTCGCTGATCTGCGAATGGATTCTCCGCCCCGCTGCCAGATTGCCCAGGCAAGAACACGCGTTGACGAGCGCGATGAGTGCGTGGCAATTGGGCCTCACTTCCATCCGATCGAAGAGCTCCATGGCCTTGTCGGGGCGGCCGTGCTCCATCCACGCCCGGATCATGGCCGTGCACGAGTAGACGCTCGCGAATCGATCCGCCAGGGCCTCTGCCTCGGCGAGGTTGCCACATTTGGCGTGCATGACGATGAGATCGCTGGCGAGGAAGCTGTGGTTGTGGAGGTCGATGCGCCGCGAGAGGATGTGAGCGTGGAGGCGCTGGCCCTGCTTGAGGGCGCGCAGCCGACCGCATGCCTGGAGGAGGCAGCCGTAAGTACTGGGCGCGCAGTGGCCTTGATCCGCGATGATCCGCGACACTGCCGCCGTCAAATCCTCCACGCCAAGGCGCTGGATTGCTGCTCGTCGCAGTGATGATGCTGCGGCGGCGCCTGACCGCGCTACCTGCATCGCTCCATCTTGAACCCTGGCCTAGAACCCTGGAAGAGAGAGATTTCCCTGGCATTTTAGGGTTCTTGAGCAAAATCTAGCTCCATTTTAAATTTCTACTCGTGATCCACAGCTGTGACGGTGCTGCTGATGAGCGATTGCGCGTTGCTCAGCCTGGCGCTCATCTCCTCGTTGACGGCATCCACGGCGCGCAGCATCCCAATCTCCTCCTCCCATTTCTCCACTTGCTTCTGGTGCAATCTGCGCGAGAGATCAAGGGAAGAAAACGCAAGCGATCGATAGGAGATCAAGGATACTGGACGACGCTCTCCTCGAACGCGCTGGCTACTTCGGTGAAGAAGGACTTCCCGGCCTCCAAGAGACCAGACACCTATGTAATCTCGATCGAGCAAGCTGGCGGAGGGGGGAATTTATCGCCAAGTACCTGCTGCGTGAACTGCTCGATCTTGTGCTGGATCTGCTGGATGCTGGCTTCCATCTCGGCGCTCGCCTCCCGCTGCCGCTTCTTGCTCGACTCGGGCGATCCAGCCTCCTCCATCGCAAGAACCCTAAACCAAAATGGCGGGGAATTCAAATTTATTACACTTTCGTTTAAATTAGTGTTGTGTGCTCGTGATCGAATCGATCAAATGATTCCTAGTATTTTTTATTTCTTGTCATCGCTGCCCTTCTTGTGGCTCGTCTCTAGCTGCCTTTGGACCTCGGCCGACACACCCAAGTGCTTGTAGTACTCCATTGTAAACTCTCCTTTACCCTGCTTACCGTGACACATTTTTAATGTGGACACCTACACAAACTCTGAGATTGACAAACCTGAGTCATTGATCGCAGCGACGTCGAGTATCCAAACATGTTGTTGAGAGGAATCTGGAAATCCAGAACAAAAGGTTAGCTGATACAACTCGGGCACGAAAGACTTACGTGACACGTGATAACCGCATCGTCGCCCTCTTGCTCGCTGTTGACGATCATGCCCTTGCGCCTGTCGCCGCCGTGGTGTTAGAGCAAGAGAAGAACTAACGCTAATGCCATACCTGTTGATGTCGCCAACCACAGGTCCCTGGAACTCCGTCGGGGCTTTGATCTCGACAAGCATGACTGGTTCTAGAATGACAGGATCGGCAGCAGGGTAACACTAGACAGCAAAACGGCACGTGTTCTATCAAAAGTTTATAACAATAAGGGATGTGTTTTACCTGTCTAAATGCGTACAGAGCAGCCAGCTTGAAAGCAAGCTCACTGGAATCTACCGCATGAGCAGCACCGTCGGTCAGGACAATACGAATTCCTTCAACGGGGTGGCCAATCAATGAGCCCCTGGCAAAAGAAAGCAGCCGTTTTGTCAATCACCAGGAGCACGAGTACAAACACTAGCTTACGAGTTGCAAGCCTCGATGAATCCCTTTTCGATTGAAGGAATGTAGCTGTTTGGAATTGCTTGACCGACAAGCATATTTTTAAACTCAAACTTGACTTCGGAATCCTCTGGAAGCGGTTCAATGTAGCTGTTTATTTATCCAGCAAGATTAGTATAGTAGCCATGGAAAAGCAAGAGAAGCTCACCCTTCCACGCGACCGTATTGACCCTGGCCACCACTTTGCTTCTTGTGTAAATAGTTGAAATCCGCCCTGGTGCTGATGGCCTCTCTGAAGTTCACTTGAGGCTTGCCAACACTTGCTTCTACCTGATAGCTTCAGCGTCATGAAGAGCAAAACAGAAGTGCACCTGTCAACCTTATATTCTCTCTTCATGCGTTCCACGTAAATGTCAAGATGCAGCTCCCCCATCCCCGAAATGAGGGTCTGAAACGAGACAAACGGTCAGAAAAAATATTACTGAAGCATACAACATCCATACCTGTCCACTTTCCGGATCTAGCTTAACACGGAAGGTAGGATCTTCCTTCTGAAATCGGTTCAGCGCCTTGGAAAACTGCCATACAAAAGAATCGGCTTGTGTAAAAACCAAATAGAAGACATTGTGAACCTGAGCTGATGCATCCTTTGACGAAACAGCGATCGCGAGAGACATGACCGGTTCGGGAACAGTCATCGACGTCATTGTATACCTTACTGAACCGTCAGTGAAGGTATCGCCTGGAAAACCCAACGATAATAACCTCAAGATGCACAAGCAAGCATCAATCAAGCAGAACCTGACGAACACTCTATCCCAAACATTGCAACAATTTCTCCAGCATGTGCCGATTGGATGTCCTGTCCAGCAAGACTGAGCTAGATAAAATACGAAAGACAAGTTACCTCCATGTCATCTGCGTGCATTTTCACCAGTCTTGGAACCTGCAATGGCCAGAGTCATGCTCAGCAAAAGGATAGAATGGCAACCGATGTTACTGACTTTAACTTTCTTGCCAGTAACAACATTGAGTAGATTCTCCCCACGCCTAATTGTGCCTTCATAAATTCTAAACGAAGATTGCTAGATATCAACTTGAAATGAAGAACAGCCATTACCTCAAATACGTCAGCTGTCCAAACCGGCCTTCTTCAAGTTTGAAGGCCAGAGCTACGAAGGGACCAGTTGGAGACCCAGTTATCGCAACCTAGAAACAATAAAACATCAAACAAAACTCAATGTTACAAGTTCATCAGGCTGACCTTTTCTTCCTTCTTATTTTGATCCAAGGCGTAATTTGAGACCTCGGTGGGACACGGCAGAAATGAGCACACTCCGTTCAAAAGCAGTTGGACACCCTGCACCAAAACTTTCGTTTACAGAACCCATGAATGATGACCATGACCATCACCTTGTTCTTGAAGGCACTACCCATAAAAACTGGAGTGAACCGTAACGCTATTGTAGCTCGTCGAATCGCCGCCTGTAAACCAAGCAATCCTGCCGAGCTCATAACAAAAAAAGAAAATGCAGACATCTTACTTCAAGTTCAGCTGGCGTTATCGGTTCGTCGTTGACAAATCTTTCTGCAAGATCGTCATCAACTTCCGACACAATTTCAATAAGTGCTCGCCGCCTGTCAGCTGCCTCTTTCATTAGCTCGGGAGGGATTTCCTTCTGGACAAGTTTTTCCCTGTACGAAGATGTTTGTTGAAATACGTCTAAAGTAATAAACACACGAACCCGTGAGCTCCTTCAAAATAAAACGCTCTTTCGTGGATGAGATCAACGAGACCCCGATGTTCGCCCTCAAGACCAATTGGCATTTGCACAGCGGCACAGTTATGGCGCAGCTTGCTCCTAAGCTAATTTGCCAAAAGAAACAAACAATTATAAAGAACGAAAGGATGCACCTAGAGTTTTCACCTGTTCGATAACTCTCCATGGATCGGCACCAGCGCGATCGAGCTTGTTGATGAACGCCAGACGAGGTACATCGTATCTCTTCATTTGCCGGTCTACAGTAATGGACTGGCTTTGCACACCACTCACGCTGCACAGCACAAGAATTGCGCCATCCAGCACGCGCAAAGCTCGCTCCACTTCGATCGTAAAGTCGACGTGCCCAGGAGTATCGATGATGTTGATCTAGAAAGAAACAAAGTCGAAACTTTGTAAGGGAATGAAAAACGTCCATCTCACCTGGTGGTCACCCCAAACGCAGTGCGTCGCTGCGGACTGGATGGTGATCCCTTTCTCGCGCTCCAGGTCCATGGAATCCATCTTGGCGCCGACGCCATCCTTGCCACGCACCTCGTGGATGGAATCGATCCGCCCGGTGTAGAACAAGATGCGCTCCGTAAGAGTCGTCTTGCCAGAGTCTATGTGAGCCGAGATTCCGATATTTCGGATCTTGTTCATCGTGTCTCGCCACGACTGATCCAGTGCGGCGGGGCGAGCAAGAGCGGCCATGTAGCGCGCCTGGATCCATGGGGAAAATGGAGCAGCCAGAGGAGGAGGAAGATTCCCTCTCGACAGCAGCGCCGAAATCCAACCGGAAGAGAAGGAGCGCTGGTGCCAGACCTGGAATGCGGCATTTGCCGCTCTCCTCGTGCTGCTCATCGCTAAAACCCTAAAACCCGAAATCTAGGGCACACTATAGGCAAAAAAGAAAATGTCCGTACGGTGGATCGAAATGGACAACACGACCACCTGTACGGCTGACGTGCCAGTATAAAACGGAGGACATGTAGTGTGTCTAGAAGGGGAAGGAGGCGCGGCGCGACCCTCCCCCTCTCTCTGCCGCCACCGCCACTAGGGCATCATCGCTCGGAGCTTCATCGCCATAGCCACAGACGGAGCGAGTGTCACGCACACACACCGCCAGTCCATCGATCGATCGCTGCCATTCGCGGTCTCCTTCCTCCATTCCGTGGATCGATCCATTGGCGCGGCGGCGGGCGCGGCGAGGGCACAGTTGAATTCATTGCCTGGCGGCCACTGGTGAGGTATGGCGGCCTTCTTCTTTCACTAGGGTTTTTGGAATCGTAGCTCACCCGTTTAGGTCATTCCATCGCTGACGCCGATCGATCCATGGCTGAATCAGGAGGAACCTTGATGCAGCAAACGGAATCGTCATCATCGCCATCGAGAAGCGACAACGCCATGACTGCTGCCGCCGCCGCCACCACAGCTTTTGCTGCTCCAAAGCACAACAAGGTGGTGAATCGCGGGGCTGGCGTCTGGGTCGTAAAGTCTGAGCTCGCAAAGGCAGTGGCAGAAGTGAGCACTGCCAAATCGGATTCGGACATCACCGAAACGCAAAAAGGCGTGGACACACCCAGTGTCGATACCGGATCTGGGAGTGATCCCGGTGTTGTGCCCGAGCAGCAGCAGCAGAATCAAACACTCACTCGGCAGATTTCTCTGAGCAAACTAAATGCTGGAGCACCGGTCTTTGTTCCCAAGGCGACGTCTCCTCAGCCTCCTCCCGCGGCTTTGCAGCCTGGTCAGCCAGGTGTTCTCTCGTTTCCACCAGTGCCAGTCCAGCCATCTCCGCCGGAAGCTCCCTCGGTTGTGGACGTGGATGACCAGAATGCTTCGGTGCCATCGTCCTCTCAGAAGTCGTCTGCTCTCAGTGAAGATACTCGCACTCAAGTCGTCCAGCAGGTGAAGTCTCGTTGTCTTTCTACATAGTCTTTCCTGCTGACGGTTTGTGATAGGTGGAGTTTTATTTCAGTGATGCCAACCTTCCAACAGATAACTACTTGATGAAGTTCATCAAAAAGGATCCTGAAGGTTTCGGTAAGGCCCGCCTATTCTGTTCGTGGAAACAAGCTTTTTACAGCCTTCGTTTTGGACAGTTCCGATACCGATCATTGGATCGTTCAGAAAGATCAAGCAGCTTACAAAGAATTACGGTGCTTTAGCTGCAGCTCTAAGATCCTCTTCCAAACTTGTACGTTGTTCGCACAAATATTCCAGAAGTATCTGAAATTCTTAAATGTTCCAGGTAGTCAGCGAAGACGGGAAGAAAGTGAGGCGGGCTGAGCCACTTGCTGATATTGACCTTGACGAAATCCAGGTAAGCCCTTCTACTGGCTAGAAACTAGCCACCTGATCTGTTTTACGTTTTAAAGGGACGAACAGTCGTAGCTGAGAACCTGCCGGAGGATCACTCCATACAAAGCCTAGAAAAGCTATTTGGAACGATTGGAAGGTATGTACTCGCTGATTTTGAGGGCTCTTGTTCATGTTGGACATGTTGTGTTCTGGCAGCGTGAAAATGGTAAGAGTGTGCGAGCCAGGATCTGCAAACAGTGTCAATAGTGCTGCATTGGCGAAGCACTCTAAAACCGACAGAGTTGTTAGTAATAAGCTGCATGCTCTGGTAGAGTATGAGACTCTGGAGCAAGCCGAGAAAGCTGTAAGTCATGCAGATAATGTTTTTTTTTCTACTTGGATTATCTTATCGGCTTGCTCAGGTTGCGGAGCTGACTGACCAACGAAACTGGAGGAGCGGTCTTCACGTACGTCTTCTGCTCAGACGAATGGTATGGACTTCGCTTTGGATGAAGTTGAGGAAAAACTCTTGTGGAGTGTTTTCAGTATCCTGCCAGCAAGCACAATCATGGAGCCAAGGGCCGAAAGTCTTCGACGGACGAAGAGGATCTGGAAAGTAAAGGTGAGGGCGCCTCAGAAGCATCACTATCGACAGATGAAACAACGGTACTGGCATTTTTCATCCCTCCTCTCGTCACTGACTTTCGTGTTCTTAGGCAACGGGAGCTCCTGACACGGAGAAAGACAGTGCAAAGCGTGGAGTCCAGCAGCAGGCCGGGGGAAGAGGTCGTGGACGAGGGGGCCGAGGGCGAGGGAGAGGCGGAGGAGGATTGATCAACGCCAACGGTGGCATGCTGGGGACATCTCCACAGATAAGTTGCAGCCCTTCCACTGGCGAAACGATGGTAGCAAAGCCGCCGCCAGGTCCTCGAATGCCGGACGGAACTCGGGGCTTTAGTTTTGGGCGTGGAAGTGGTGCTGCCGCCACTGCTGTTGCGAAGGCCAGCCAAGCTCGCCCTGGCTCGCTATGATCTCCAAGGGGCTATAAGCGTTTCTAGGTGCTTGGTCAAATTGAAATACATATAATAGCTTGGATTTTGGCTTAATATAAAGCTTTGGAAGCTGGAGATCAACTTTAATTTTGGGTGCTGTAACGCTGTTGCGAAGGGCCGCCCAAGCCAAGGTGGCATGGCTCTGTGGAAACGAAGAGGCGAAATTACAAGAAATTACGCGAAGGTGAAAAAGGGCTACTTTTTCCCCTTGACCTACCATTTTAAATTACAAAGAGGCGTATGTATGTGGCGCGTTCCTTCTTAGGGTTTAATCGATGATGACAAGATCCTACAGGAGCCTCGTCTCTGGATTGCGCGATGCGGTGAGTAGATTCCCCTCCAGATTTCACTGGCGCGGGGGCGGAAGATCCGTGGCCACGAAAGCCGCGTGTAGCAGCTGCAGCAGCAGCAGTGTGGCGGCGGAGCGAGAAGACGAGGCGGGGCCGAGTGTGTCGGATATGCTGGTGGACTCTTTCGGCAGGAGGCACAATTACCTGCGAATCTCTCTCACGGAGCGCTGCAACCTTCGCTGCCACTACTGTATGCCCGAGGAAGGGGTGAAGCTCACGCCCGGCGCACACCTGCTGTCGCAGGACGAGATCGTGGCTCTGGCCAAGGTGTTTGTTGGCGGCGGCGTGGACAAGATACGGCTCACGGGAGGAGAGCCCACCGTGAGGGCGGACTTGACGGACATATGCCATCGCTTGAGCGGCTTGAGCGGTGTCAAGACTCTGGCCATGACAACCAACGGCCTGGTTCTGGAGCGCAAGCTGCCGCAGCTAAAGCAGGCAGGATTGAATCAGCTCAACATCAGTCTCGACACGCTGGTCCCGGCAAAGTTCGAGCTCCTCACGCGGCGCAAGGGCCATGATCGTGTTCTTGACTCCATCGATGCGGCAGTGGAGCTGGGCTATAATCCCGTCAAGGTACATGTGTGACTTCGTTGGTTTCCTTCCCTGGGATTGAAGTTCAAGCAGGTCAATTGTGTAGTGATGCGAGGCGTCAATGACGATGAACTCGCCGACTTTGCGGAGCTCACAAGGCACAAACCGATCAACGTCCGGTTTATCGAGTTTATGCCGTTTGACGGAAACGTGTGGAGCTCCAAGAAACTAGTCTCTTACGCCGAGATGCATTCGAGGCTGGTAAGCCAAAAAATTTCCATCAAACTCTAAGTCTAGCTCTCGCTGTGAAGGCCCAACGTTACCCGTCTCTCAAGCGTCACTGTGATCATCCGAACGACACTGCAAAGAACTTCCACATCGAGGGATACCAAGGCTCTGTCTCGTTCATAAGCTCCATGACACAGCACTTTTGCGGCGGATGCAATCGGTTGAGACTAATGGCCGATGGAAATCTCAAAGTCTGCCTCTTTGGAACAGCCGAGGTGCTTTTGCATGTATAACTGATCGATGATCTCTCACTGATTCACTGCTTACAGGTTAGCCTAAGGGACGCGTTAAGAAGTGGCGTTCCCAGTGATGAGCTCGAGCAAATCATCAGTCTAGCGGTGGGTTCTCGAGTATCCATAAGAATGGCTTGATATGTATCTATTCGTTTCCTCCCTGGCAGGTTAAGAGAAAGAAAGCAGCTCATGCTGGGATGTTTGAGCTTGCAAAGACACCAAACAGGCCCATGGTCCACATTGGTGGATGATCTCCAACTATACTGTCTATATCTATCTATCTATCTATCTATCTATCTATCTATTTACGTGCAGCATGAGACTGATGGAGTGTATCACCGGGTGTACAGTAACTATAAGCAATATCCTTGAAGTCAACGGAAGTCAATCTTTGAAGCCTTACGTTTACTTTCGCTTAGTTTACGCAAACTTCGTATATGGTCCGCGTATTTCTTACCTGTCTGCCAGGATTTTTACGCCGACATACCTGTAGATCTTACACTCAGCAAATACTCCCAAAAGAAAAAGAAGTCAGTACCTGCCAAGCATCATAACTGTAGCCTGTGGATTTGTTCCAGGGGAAAACACGAAGGTAGAACCATCGACAACTCTCAGTCCTTGGGTGCCCAAAACTCTATAGTCGGAATCCACAACCTGGCCAACCACGCAGCCACCGTGATAGTGCCAGATGGTTGCAACGTTTGTCACGCAATAGGTGGCTATGGTTGCGTTCAGAGTGGGCGCAAATGCTGGATTTCTCCGGTTGGGCGATCCAACTGTACCTCCCGATGGGAGAGGCTGAATGTCAAACACAAAAGGGCGGAACGCATTTGTGAGAACGGCCTCCTCGACCCTGTTCACCCCTGCAACGCATGTCGCCAGGTCTTGGGGGTTTTGGAAATAGTTGAAGGTGACTATCGGATTGTCTCGGACATCCAATTGTCCAGACGCGAAAAGATCTCCCACGATGGTATCGTGGACCCCAAAACAAGCTTGCCTACAGATAAAGGTCCGGCGGCTTTCTGGAGTATGTACTCGACTGGCGCACCGGGTATAGCTGCTGCAGCAGCACCACTCGCAGCCTCGATGTAGGTGCCAAATGCTGCAGTGATTCCCACGGCTTGCACAAGTGACGACTCCACTGGGGAAGGCGAGAGTATAACAAGACGGGTTGTGGGGTTGTCTCTCATTTGTTGTCCAACTCCAGTTGCGTTCAACACCACCTTGATGCCCATGGCTGTCAGATGGTCTGCTGGCCCGATTCCGCTCAGCAAGAGCAGCTGCGGGCTTCCTAGTGCACCTGCACACAAAATCACTTCACTCTTGGGGTGTCTGCTAAGAAGAGCCGTGTGCGGTAAGCCAAGGAAGTCTGTATACCGCACTCCATAAGCTCGAAGCCCTGGATTTGGCGGTTAGGAACATTGTGAACATTGTGAACACGTAAAGACTGAACCTTTGAAAAGGATGAGCTCAACTTGTGCGTAGAGCAGAACGTCCAGGTTCGTACGATTGGCGTAAACAAACAGATTGAAGCTGGCCGCCGGAACCCCTGGCTATCGAAATTCGTTCCCCCGGTTTGGGTTCCAACTTGAAAGTCGTAGCTGGCACCGTTGTCAGGAGTCACTCCTGCCTCGAGCAGGGACTGCCTGAACGCTCTCTGATATGGCCCAAGCTCTGGGAATGACGCCACAATTCTCTCCACCCACTGGAAGGACGCGTTAGCCAGGCTCCCATCGAGGCCCATGTCTGCTATGGTTTGAGGACTCGCTCGGTTGTAAAACCCGGCGTTGATTGAGCTTCCACCGCCCAGCACTCGAGCCCGGCCGTTTCTAACGCCATCCGTGGAAACGAATCCCTGGACGAGTGTGTTGCTGCCAAGTTGGTTTTCGTAAGTCAGTAAAAAGCTGTCTCGGCGTGTGGAGATTGGATCGGGGAAACCTCCGCGCTCCAGGACCAAAACCTTGAACCTCTGGGAGAGTGTGGCGGCTAATGGGCATCCAGCAGTTCCTCCTCCCACAATGATGTAGTCATAGGAGTTCCATTTGAGCTGCACAGATGGTTCACTCATAGGTGGGATGGCAGAGCTCGATTCCGGACTGATTGCTGGATAACAAGACCAAAAGAATTGAGCTACTTACAACTCAAGAAAAATGTTAAAGTGATTTGTGTCACCTGTGCATGTATAAGCAGAGATGGTAAGCGTAAGCACCAGAAAGAGATCCATTTAATTGCTACATTTGCTGAGCAGCACGGAGCCCCTTTTATCCTACTCTCGGGTGTTAAAGTTTCAACACCTAAGTGGGAGATTATATAACAAGAAGATACGTAGTTGGCCTAGCTACTCAGCTTTTTGAAAAACAGAAACATAGTATATACTAGAGACAAAGTACGTTTAAACCCTAAACCTTTTAACCTAGAGATGGACAAGGCGTCGCTGATGAGGGCGTTCAAGGTGATGTGCAGCGAGGCGGGCGCCGCCATGAGCGACAAGTGCAAGCTCTCCGCCGCGCCGCTGCTGGGCCTCAAGCCGCTGGACATCCGCGAGGCCCACATTCGGTCGCAGCAGCTGGGCAAGGAGATTTGCTACGACGGCCGCGTCATCCACGCCAACATCTGCGCCTCCGCCCGGGTGCCCAACTCCCGCCTCCTCCTCTGCCTCGTCGAGGCCGACGACGCCGACAACGCCGGCGCCGCCTTCCTCCACGTCTTCAACGCTCTCGCCTCCACTTGCACCAGGCAGGACGCCGCCCAGTCCATGTTTCCCACCGATGCCCGCCTCGCCATCAAGGAGCCGCTGTGCTACCGCTCCATCATGCACGTCTCCAGCCCCGCCTCGCTCCACTTCCTGGGCCTGGCCAAGAGGCTCCGGCGGAGGCCTTTGGAGGAGCTGCGCAGGGAAGGCAGCCGGTTCATGGCCAAGGGCAGCTTCCTCATGGCGGAGCTCTACTTCACCGAGTGCATCGATGTGTTCGCGGCCAGGGACGCGAGCACGTATGGTCCGGTGGAGAAGGACGTGTTCTCCAGCAGGGCTGAGTGTCGGCTCAAGCTGGGCAAGTTTGAGGAGGCGGTGGCGGACGCCGACATGGCCTTGAGCATTTCTGGTGATGGTGGCATTGCCGTTCGAAGGAGGAGCTTGTGGAGCAAGGGACGGGGACTGTCTGCTCTCCAGGAGCACCAACTCGCCTTGGAATGCCTCGAGTCCGCCATGAAACAAGGCGATGAAGAAGAAGAAGAAGAGCAAGCTCTAGCGAGCGAGATCGACCAATGTAAGGTGTTCCTCCGGCAAAGCCAGCACGGCGACTACGATCTCTCTCCTTACTTCCTCCCCAACAAGGCCAGCGACACGCCATTGCAATGCAGTGACTACTTCGGTCCTCTGGAGATCAAGCACACCCACGACGGGCGAGGACGGGGGATCTTCCTCACCCGCGACGTCCAACTCGGGGACTTGCTGCTCGCTTGCAATCCAATCGCGGCTGTGTCAAGCGCCGCTTCCCATGACGCAGACGAGGACTTGGTGGTGGAGATCGTCAAGGCGTGTGTGGAGTCCGAGCGGCGGCTCGAGCAGATCTATGCCATGGCCGACCGCGAGGCAGCCGAGGTGACGGCACTGCCCGACTTGGCCCCGTTCAAGTGTAACACCGGAAAGGTGGCGGCCACGCCGAGAAGCAGCCGCGGCGTGGACGTTGCCAGGATTCGAAGAGCTCGCGATCGAGTGGGCTACAGCTCGCAGGGATCTGGCGGCTCATACGTTCCGGGGCTGTGGGCATCGGTGGGATTGATCAACCACTCGTGCATTCCAAACGCTTCCAAGATGAGCATCGGCGATGTGGTGTTCGTGAGAGCTGCCAAGGATCTCAAGGCCGGGGACGAGGTGCTGCTCTCGTATCTGGAGCCGCCGCTGGCTCCCTACGCCGGCTACCGCGAGAAGATGATCCAGCAGTACAACTTTGAGTGTAGCTGCGAGCGATGCAAGCTGGAGCGGAGCCACCGTCATGTCTTGGGTGATCTTCCCGGCTACGAAGACGATCGCGGGGGATCGGGGCTGGCGATCAAAGTCGACGACGATGTCATGGACGTGGTGGTGGAGATTGAGAAGCGGATCAAAGGGATGAGCGAGCAGGAGAAGGATTGGATTCGTGCTGGGTTTGTGGATCACTACTCGGCAGTCTGCATGCTCAGGGATCCTCGGGTCCCGATCGACTGCGAGCAGCTGTTGAGGATCATGCGTGAGACCGGTTCGGGCAGCAAGCACACGCTGTCGAGGATTGCATTCTTATGTAACATCAGTGGGAGGAAACCCGAGACGATGAAGGTCTTGTACGAGCAAGTTACTGCTCTGTACGGTAGACAAAGCCCGGAAGTTGTCGATGCTATAACACGAAAGTACCGCATTCCAAGCCTCAACATGTAACTCCCCTTCTGCTTCTCTTGCTGGCTGGTAGCTAGGCGTAGATTGATTGATTGGAATGAATGAATGGTGTGATCGAGAGCTTGGGTTCTTGGAATTCGATCCTTTTGGAGCAAGCGAGGAGCGGGAGTGCGCATGGAGTGAAGCACCTGTTCGATCGGATGCCGGAATGGAGCATAGCGTCGTGGAATATCTTGCTCTCTGGATATGCCCGTCAAGGAGATTTGGATCGAGCCCAATCCGTCTTCGATCAGATGCCACAGCGCACTCTCGTCTCTTGGAATTCAATGCTCACAGCATTTGTCGCCGGCGGAAAACTCGATCAAGCGCGACTCTTTCTGGAAAGAATGCCGATGCGCAGCATCGTCTCCTGGACCACCTTGCTCCACGCATATGCCCAGACTATGGATCATGCAATGTTGCGATTAATGTTTGATCGCGAACTTCCGGAGCGCGATACCATCTGCTGGAACGTCCTCCTTGGAGCAATCGCGGCTCAAGAGCGAGCAAGCATTGAACAGATCCTGGAGGTTTTTCACGAGATCCCGGGGCGTGACTTGGCATCATGGAACATCCTCCTCAACTGGTTCGCTCAGAGGCGAGATCTGGAAGGCACGCAGCAAACTTTCGATTCCATGCCAGAGAGGGACATGATTTCGTGGACGGTGCTCTTGAGCTGCTGCGTCCAGGCGGGCTGTGTTGATCGAGCAGTGCGAGTTTTCAATCAAATGCCCCAGCAGAACATGTATTCGTGGAATTCAATGCTCACGCTCTACGCTGATAGAGGTGATCTTGCCTACGCAACAGTGACATTCAATCAGATGCCACAACGCAACGCCGCCTCTTGGAACACTCTCTTGGTCCTCAATGCCCAGAAAGGGCATTTGCACAGAGCCAAGGAGATCTTTGATGGCATGCCAGGTAGAGACATTGCCGCGTGTACTGCCATGCTGGCAGCATACGGAGCCGCGGGCCTTGCTGACGAGGCACAGAGAGTGTTCTATGACATGCCGGAGTGGGACCTTGTGGCGGGAAATGCCATGCTGGTAGCGTTGTCATCCTCACCAGCTGCCACCGAGAGGCTCTTTGACCAAATGCCAGCGAAGGATTTGTATACGTGGAACATTGCTCTGCAGACGCGTGCTGCCAACGGGGACTTGGAAGAAGCCAAGCGCATCTTTGACGAGATGCCAGAGACCAATTTGGTATCTTGGAACGCATTGCTCACAGCATATACCCAGAAAAACTCGCTAGAAGATGCATACAATCTGCTCATTGCAATGCCGGACAGGTGCTTAGTGTCGTGGACTTTGTTGGTAGCTACGTATGGGCAAAACAACATGGCAGGGGAAGCCAAGCATTTGTTTGATCGAATGCTCGAGCGAGATGTTGTTGCCTGGACTGCCATTATCTGTGCGTTTGCAGAAAACGGGCATTTGGAACAAGCAAAGAAGCTCTTTGATATGATTCCCTATGAACCTTCTAATCTGGTGGCAGCAAATGCCATCCTTTCTTGTTATTCTCAAGACCACACTCACTACAGGGGTGCCTTTGAACTTTTCAGCGAGTTCAAACTCATAGACTCAATTGATGAAAGCTGTTTTGTTTCGATTTTGGTAGCATGTAGACACGCTGGAAAACTTGATACTGCAAAAGCTTTGTTCCACTCCATAGCTATGGATTTCGGATTGGTGCCATCAAAGCAGCATTACTCTTGTATGCTAGATGTCATGTCCCGAACTGTGGCATTGAGAAAGCAAGCGGTGGATCTTGTTTTGGCCATGCCTTTTTTCCCAGATGCTGTGGAGTGGACCAGCATTGTTGGTGAGAGTGCCAGATGGAGAATGTTGGGGTTGACATTTCCTAGATCTTTTTTCTCGCCTCCTAAGGTATCAGTCATCACGTCTGACTAACACTATGGAGTGGAGAGAATGTTCGGGTTGACAAGCTCTTTGCATAATCCAAGATCCAGCTTAAAATCTCGTGAGATGTTCCCTTGTCTTCTTTCTGGCCTCTTAAAGTCAATCATCACGTCGAGGCTAACAAGCTCGAGACATGTAAAGCATGATGGCTGACTTTAGGGAGGGAGTCAAAGCTTGATGATGTCATGGGGTCAATGTAAAATGCTCTCAGACATTCTCCTTTGTCATGATCACCATTGATGAGTTGACCAGTGGCTCACTTTTGATTCCTTCCCTTGGTGAAAATCTCCCATGATCTTAAACACGTTCATCCAAGGGAATCTTCTCCAATTCCATGAAAGTTCATCATATGCGGTAATGCTTTGATTTGCTTCTAAATTCGTACATGATCAAATGCAAACAAAACACTGATCTTTAGTCACAAATGCAGTGCATCCAAATCTTACTTTCAGAACTGCTCTTTGATCATCCATGTGCCGAAGTTAATATGTGCTTGCGAATGATCCGCCGACAGTTTGAGATTTAGAAAAGTCAACCCCCGTGGTCGGGGCCCATACAGTTGTCTGGCCGGCTGCTTGGGGCCCTTTGACCGTACTGGAGGGGATTATCCGACTATATATTGCAACATTTGCCAGTGCCAAAGTGTTCGATACTTTTTGTGTTGGTTGCTCACTAGATACTGAATCAGATTTTGATAGCAATGGATGATTGTTGCAGCAGTTTATTGCCGCCCGCTTCTGCCAGAGCTCATCACCACTCTCACTCGTCCCCAGATCAGGATCAGGCGTCTTCCAATAACTCTCTCTCCGACATTTCTTCCTCGTTTTTCGACCAGGACTACGATTGGGCATCGTTGCAGCAGCCGCAGCGAAGCAATGCAGATTCATCCACAGAGCTCCTCAATTCCTCGACTCTCATCTCACAATCCCAGCAGACTTTAGATCAATTTGGAGGTTTCAACCTCAATTTTCTCATCGCGTCCTCTAGGCCCTATGGCCAGCAGTATGAAACTGCGGTGCCATGCTTCCAGATGGTCTCCCCGGCAATGCAGGTGAAGCCGCTCAAATCCCTCAAACGAGAGTCTCTCGACCAGTCCACGCTAGTCAACTGCGAGGACAACAGCCCCGGCAGCGCTCGCAGCGGAGTGTTCAATCCCAATTGCTCGGAGCTGGAGCAAAGGCAGCCATTCACTGCTGCTTCAGATCTTATAAGCAACAAGAGGCAGTGCCTGGTAAGATCGATTGGCTGGATTCCATTGAGCTTGTCATTGAACTATCTCCTGTTCTTCCTTGTGAAGGATCAAAGGCTTCAAGGATGGAGCTCACCTACGAATGAATCCAAGCATAAGCTCTCAAGTGTGAACTTTGCTGGGCCAGCTCTCAACACGAATGGCAAGCCCCGAGCAAAGCGTGGATCTGCAACAGATCCCCAAAGCGTTTATGCAAGGGTGAGTATTTTTCGCTCTTGTCCAATGTTATCTCTGATCAATGTTAAAACTCCAGCACCGGAGAGAGAGGATCAACGAGAGGCTCAAAACTTTACAACACCTTGTTCCAAATGGTGCAAAGGTAAATTAAAAGAATCTTCTGCTTAGTTTACTCAATGAATTTACCATGCAGGTTGACATTGTGACAATGCTTGAAGAAGCAATACATTACGTGAAGTTTCTACAGCTGCAAGTCAACGTGAGTTGTCACAAAATGGTCTCTAAACACGATTACTAATTTTGTTAAGCTTTATTATGCAGATGTTAAGCTCTGATGAGTACTGGACTTATGCACCCACAACATATAATGGTCCTGAGACACCTCTAGGACTGAAATTACCACTGACGGGATCATGAACAAACTTCGATTCTTTTATTTCTTTTTGTGGGATCTAGATTGCCAAATAAGCATGAAAAAGGTCCCCATTATAAATGTACATTACTCGTGAGAAATGTATGTATTTTTTTCTAGCAAAAGTTTTGCTTTACATCAATCAGTATATAAATCTAAGCATTGAACAAAAAAAAGTTTTTTTTTACCTGTAGGAGATTACCCTAGCCTTGCCAGTGGCGATGACGATGAAGCAGCCATTTTTTAAGCTCAACACTGGAGCTTCCATTCCATCACTGGGTTTTGGAAGTGGTACGCCCATCAGCGTGGAGGAAATGAAAGCTGCGGTTGTGTGTGCTATCAAGGTTTGTTTTACCTTTTTCTCCCAAATGTCGAATGCAAATGAAAATCCATAGCTCGGATATCGGCACTTTGATACTGCTGGCTTGTATGGAACTGAAGCTGGCATTGGAGAGGGACTTGCCCAAGCTTTTGCAACTGGCCTTGTTAGTAGAGAGGATATTTTCCTCACGACAAAGCTCAAACACGAGGATCACGGTAGCCAGGATGTTCTCCCAGCACTCCAGAAAAGCCTCAGGTATAGGAGGATATATTTTTTGTTTCTTCTCACAAGTTCGAGTAGTGCCTTGAAGATGAACTATGTGGACTTGTTCTTGATACATGCTCCACTCAGAACAACCAGAGGAGCTCCATTCCCACCCAAGGAGGAAGATTTCTTACCTGTGGACATCCCGGCTACTTGGGAAGCCATGGAAGAATGCTTTCGAAAGGGGCTGGCCAAGGCAATCGGTGTGAGTAACTTTAGCACGAAAAAGCTGCACGACTTGCTTCAACATGCAAAGATCACTCCTGCAGTGGATCAGGTAATACCATGATCTTTAAGAAAACTTCTACCAAGTTCTGTTGTCACTCTTCAAGGTTGAAGTACATCCATTGTGGCAGCAAGAGCAGTTGAGAGACTTGTGCAAGAGAAATTGTGTCCAAGTGATTGCTTGGTCACCTCTAGGTGGTCTTGGCAAGCCTTGGGGAAGCAAATCCGTTATAGAGCATCCTGTTATCCAGGAAATCGCTCTAAAGCACCACAAATCTCCTGCTCAGGTACATAGTTTTCTTGATTCCCGTTAAGTTTCATTCATCCATGCGTACAGGTGATCATACGATGGCTCACGGAAAGCAACGTAGCTCCCGTTGTCAAGAGCTACAACTCCCAGAGACTGCTGGAAAACATAAACAGCTTCGATTTCAGCTTGGCAGACGAGGACCATAAACGAATCGAGAGCATCGCACAGGAAAGGCTTGGTATGTGGGATGCTTTGTGCAATTTCACTACCAGTCCTTACAAGTCACCGTTTGAGCTATGGGATGGAGAGATTTGAATGCCATCATAAGTTATATAACTCTGTCATCTTTTTATTTGAAAATTCTTCAAATGAAGAGTTACTTGGATGATGATCATGATCTTATGCGGTGCACAAAATTGATGATGGACGCGATGGTTCCAGCCACGCCCACCGCAGTTCCCACAGCCAAGATGGCATAGTTGACTCGGGCCTCCCACTTTGGCATCACGTTTCTGTATATTTTCAAATAAAATAACGAAGGAAGGATCACCGCTACGAGCATGCCTGAGGCAGAGCCTATAAATGCCACCACGGTTTCGAAATATGGAAAAACCATAGCCAACAAAAAAACGAAGATCATGAGACCGGTCCTGAGAAGCAGGCTGGATGCCACAAAACATCTCGAAGTATTGGGCCACGGGAATTTGCTCTCAATATCGAGAGCTATGGGAGCAAGGCATAGCGAATACTTGCTGAATGGAAGGAGAACAACCAGCCATAGCACAAGCTTGGCAGCAACCAAGTGTGTGGGAATATTTAGAGATACTTGCGGAAGTGTATAGTCCCCAAACATGGTTCCTCCTAGAAACGCGAATCCAATGTATATCATGGTGGAGATCATAAAACTGAGAACCAACACCTAGAAGTCCAGTACAAAGTTTAGTTTTACATCTCCGTGTCAGTCGATAAAAATGGTACCTTTGCATAGTTGGAGGGATTCTTGAGCGACGTATAAACACTAGGAAGAGCACAGTGAGCCGCAAAACAGTAGGCATAGATTCCCGCGATGTTGAGCAAGTTTTCCGGTCTCAAGTGTGGAACCGAGTGGTGAAACCCGACACCCAATCCAGTTCCAACATAAATCATTGTAACCGTGATGATCATGTACGTAACAATACCGAATAGAGATAGATATGATATCCATGCCAAGTTTCTCAGCCAGACTGTTGGAAGAACAACGAGGAACGCTATGAAAAGCAGCACCTTGGAAGGGCCAATCTCAAGAGCTGAGATCCGAAGAGTAGCATGAGGGAATAGCCTGGCAAGATTGTCACCCATGGAAATCGTGTAGCCCACCAACACTGCTATCATCTCGAATTGAACCAGCAAGGTGAAGGGAAGGCGAGCTCTGGAACCGAAGGCAGCCTCGGCAATTGTGTTGTATGATCCATTTGGGATGAGGCAGCGACCAAGAACATAGGCAGTATAGCAGCATATCACTGAAAATGCAAACAGGATGCTCAAACCCAGCCAGCCACCTTGCTCGAGAGCGTAGGGTGTGGTGAGGAAAGAAATCCCTGCAAAGAATCAAGGCAGCTTGCTTGAAGCTTTCCAAATAAGAAAATCGATTTATCACTCACCAAGTATGGCACTGACACTGTTGAATGTTGCATGTAGGAATGAGCTCCTTTGTAGCTTGTTTTGTGATTGATCATTTTGATCGAGGCTCTGCCCCTCCACCTCAAGAGCTTGGTGCTCCATATCTATCTCGACATCCCGCAGAGGTGAAGGCCCTTGGCAAAAAATCCAAAATCAAAAGTCATGGTAACAAGCCTTTTTTGAAGATTCGTGAGAATCAAGGTGATCTCGTGAATCTTCAAAAAAGGATTGTGCAATTTGATTCTCGCTTAAACTCAAAAAGTCTTGCTTAAACTCAAAAGGTCAGAAAGTCACGGTCGGGTTTCCTTACTTCTTATATTTGTAAAACCCTAAAGAATGAATTAGTGAATTACCCTAAATGTTTAATGATTAATTTTAAATTAGTAACATTAAATTTTAATTAGTAGTTATAATGGTGCCTTTGGCTATTAAGGCTGTTTGTGGTGAAGTAAATGAATTTACTATTGATCATATGATGTCCATGTGAACAAATCTGACTACCTCGCCTCACTTGTATTATTATCCATCCACACCTTTTGCCATTGCCAAAGAAAATTGAATCAAAACTCTGTGCTTGCTCACTCAACAAAATCCAGAAACAATTATAATTTTATAATTAAGTATATAACCTCTGCTTGGTTTAGGTTTTTCCTAATTGTGTTTATATTTGTGTTCCTTCTTATATTTTCTTTCTTATTTTGTTCATTCTGTTTAGCATTATGGCTAGATTGGAATGTGTAGACCATCATTAGATAGTATTCTTTCTTTTTCTGATCTTACTAAGAGAACTAATAGTAAGGTAAATTCATTTACTTTTTGTATTACAGTTGGTCTTATTCCAACAATAAAAAGTATAATTTATTTTTTACCTTTAAATACTTAAATAATTGAAAAATAATATACTAGAATAATCTTTAATTTATAATAATGAGGTGTATGACGTCCAAATAAACAAATGGGGTCCACCTAAATAAAGAATGGTGTTTATTTCTGACAATAGGTTTGCAAATTGATCGTTTCAATCAAGGCTGTCCCTCCATCCCACATGAAAAATTGCGAAAGCTCTCCTCCATGAATTTGTCAGGAGCTCCATTGAAGTCATGATCGAGACGCCCTACTCATCAGAAGCATCATCGCTCCATGCGTTTTGACCACCCAGTCACGAGACCGTCTCCCAAGTGTTTCTATCTTCAAAGGTGGTACACTGTCGCTCAAAACGTGTCCAACCCCACTTAATTTTCTTGACAGATGGGGGGGGGGGGACCACGTCAGCCTTTCGTCCTAGATAACACGGTGAGTGAACAAGATAACTTTCCATTCTCCCATGTCCGCAACAAAATCATGGGATCAAGCCGCTCTTCGTCTCTTGTGGCACGGAGGCTCCACATTCGATGCCTGGCTCAACATTGTTGCTGCGAAGGTTTCTCACTGATTTCTCGAGATAGATGTGCCTGACTAGTATCATACAAACATGTGTAGCTGGCTTCGCGGCTCCTCACTTTTCCACAATCCACTGCTCAATTGGGGCTGCCTTCGGCCATTGTTTTCCAGCTCCTTCTATCGGCGATGGGATTGTGGTCTCAATCCGCGATAAATGTTCTCTACTTGAGACACAAGCGGATGGTGAATCCAGAGACAACAGCGAATCAACCCTGGCACACGACTCAGGTACAATCAAAGAGTTTTAGAATCGACCACTTAAGAGCACCGCAGCTTCACGAAGTTATTGGAGGGCTTCTGGGATCTAAATGGAAGATTGTTTCCCTCGTGTTCAACATTGTCACACTCTTCTATGTTTCATCGGCTCAACTGATAGCATGTAGCAAGTGAGAGTTCTTTCTGACATTTTTTTTGTCACTCTCGATCATATCTCAGACTTCCTTGTCAATTGGGGCAGTGTGGCATACACCGTGAATGACAACTTGGACAAGAGAACCTGGACGTTTGTGTTTGGGGCAATCTTCTCGCTGCCAATTCTTTTCCCGAGCGCTCACAACTACAGAGTTTGGTCGTTCCTGGGAGTGGTCACTATTATCTTTGACTCTGCTTACATGACAATAGCAACGCTGTTTGACAGAAAGGCAAGACTATACTTTTCAATCATTACTAAAATCATTCCCACAGGCCGGAAACGTCAGTCATTCGTCACCACGAAGCTCCCAGGAATATTTTACCGGTTTGGTCGGGATGCTGATCCTCGGAAACGTTCCCATCCCTGTGTAAGATCATGTCACACTAGTAAAGTTTCATACTTGATAATGTGTTTTCACTACAAGGGAGATCATGGATGCAATGTGGAAGCCTGACGAGTACCAGGCAGCAAATCTCTACGGGATGGCTTGCATTTTGGTGGTGGTCATGCTTCCAAGCATCAGCATGGAACGCAAATTTGGAGACAAGCTTCTCGCCACCCCAAACGCAATGTTGCTACTCCCAAGATCAAAGTTTCACGACAGTGCCAACGTCCTCATCCTCCTTCATGTGGTTAGTATACCATGGATCCATATGAGCTCCAAGTTCTACATCTTCTCTGATCGATCGAGAGAAACCCAATTCATCAGGTTATCAACTTTGGCATGTACTCCCTCGCACTCTACGCGACGTGGGAGAAGATAGTGCGCATCCACGACTCACCAAGCTACGTGAAGCGAACGTTGTCCCGGATACCGGTGTTCCTGGCGCTGTGGATCACCGCTCTCGCCTTCCCTTTCTTCGGTGCAATCAACAAGCTCTTGGACGCCATCCTTGTGTCCTGGAACTTCTTCATCATCCCGTGCGCGGCTTACATCGCAGTCTTTTGGTTGCCGCGGCCGCGGCGAGGCTCCAAATCCCTGTCGAGGCTGGGCTGGGGGGTGGATTTGAGCGTTTGCCTGGGGATTATCCTGTGGATGCTGGTCATGCAATGTGGGCTGGGCCTGTGGGGCGACGTCCACACTTTCGTCAAGGTGTTGGAGGGAACCAGGCCCTTTCCAAAGTGCTATCGCTGCGCACCTCCAAAGTAGAGAACAATTCTCCTTCTTCCTGGGCATATTCCTAGAATTTAGGGCTGCCGATTCCTGTATAAGTGTTTTTGCTGCTCCGGAAATAAGTGAAGAGTTAGGCAGCACACTGAGTACAAGAGTCACCACATCTGTGATCCATACGCCGCAAATAGTTGAGAACCGTATGGAACTGTTTGCAAGACTTTCCCAGAGGCTCATTATGCGAAGCCAATGTTGTTGTTGTCCTTGTGTTCTCCACCACATCATGTGCAGGAAAGACAGAGACAAATAGGGATCATCATAACAATCTGCTCGAGGCTACCCCACCATGTGGAGATGATTCCAGTGGAGTGGTTCCATAAAGCTTCTCGATCTAGGCCCCAAGAACATGTTATATTGAAATCCCTTGCAATGGCACTACCACAGAGAATGCTACCGTCCCAACTCCATGCTCAAGCCCTGGAAGAATGCGTGAAGCCCTATCTTCCGGCCTGCTATGAGAGTTCTAAACAGCACGGGAGGGAATTTTTTTGGTGGGTTCCTCTTCGCAGTGATTGGATTCTCTTTAGTTCCATGTGCTGATATCAGTAGCACTAAAGAGGAGGAAAATTCTGTATTGGGACAGCGAGCATAACTGCGAGTGTGCGCTCATATTTACATGATTCTGAGTTTGCACAAGCGTGGAATTTAAGTAAGCTTTTGCGAAAGTGACTGTGAGTGATGGTGTAAGCTTTGTAATGCTTACTTGTTGCTTAGTGCTTCAACAGGAATACCAGAGGAGAAGAGACATCTTGCGACAAGCCAACTATAGGCTCCATGGTTCATGTGGAATACACAGCTTGATTATGTAGAGGAGCTGTTGATATAAATGTAGAGAAGCAAGGTGACTTTGAGCTTGAACTGAGCAGTGGGCTTGTACTTGGCCTTCTCGACACATATGTTACTGTTATGTGTGTTGGTCAGAGTGCTCACTTAGAGCAAAGAGGGAAAGACATTTGCTAGTTTTTGTAGCCAGTCAAGGGTAGGAGACACCTTATATATAATGTAGTATTACAACACAAATACAATTGAATCTGGCACCACTTCACTTAATTTGTCCTCAGACATGTGATGCTGATAGTAATTGGATTTGTACAGCACCGTGTCCCTGTAGAGAAATGCATGGTCATCATTACCACTTCTAGAGCTGCTGCTCTGAATCACTGCCACCACGTTGAAGCTCACCTTGCCACTCAGAAATGGCTCCAAAGTGATAGAGCAAACCAGGACCTCATCAATCTCTGCTGCTCGTGGGTGATGACAGACCCTGTAAGATCTTCATCCGTGTCCCTTGTGAGATCTTCGTCCCTGTCCCTCGCACTGCCCTTCTCACCTGGCCGCTACGTACATGTGACTGATCCCAAACTGGTGGAGGATTCTCATGGCCTTGAGATCTTCTCACTGGTGATGCTGCTGCTGCTACTGCTACTGCTGTGATTCCGACTCCAAATCTCCTCTCTCTATCCAGCCACTGCTGTCGTTGATCAGATAGCGATTTGTAGTGGTGCTTAAATTTTGTATCCTGGATCCACACGAGAATGACGTGATAGCAAAGAGCAAGACTTACCTGTAGCATTAAGTTGACTCTACCATTGGGACTTCTAGATAGCCTTTCTGTCACCATACTGCCGTAAAAAGCTGTGACAAAACCATACCCCAACCGAAGAACTTCCTCTAGCTTTGATAGCAAAACGTACAAAGCACTATGTTTACCTGTATCCCAAGATATTCACTGACTTTCTCCAAAAAGAATAGATATCAGAGGTTCCACTTTGTAATCAAGACGAAAGGATAAATGTAAACACTGCTAACACAGCAGTATATTGATACCTGTAGCGACAGGATCATATGGGTGAAATATGTTCATCATTTGCCTGCATGCTGGCTTTTTTTCTTCAATGCTTTCATCTTCCCAGTACTCATGACCTGTTCTTTTGCAAACACATTCAACTTACGTTGCAAAGACCGTAAATCATATACATACCCATTTCCAAAGCATTCATTCTGGAGACTCAGAAACAGTGGCGACACAACTGCAAAAAATGCGAGAAAGAAACTTATCAACAGTGAAGAAACAAGGAGCTCGCTCTCCTTGTTTTGTTCCTAATGCTGCAAAGTGACACGAGAGAGAGTTAGACATGAAACCCTCAGATATGAACAGCCATAACCGTTATAAGAGAGTATTCCATCTTCCTCAAGAGAACTTGTCATAAACTGAAGAGCACCATGTATGGCTGTCCAGTATGACTATCACGCTGCAAATTAGAAATCCCTCTCAATGCATTAAAAACGCAAAACTGAAGAACAAGGAAGCAAACTGTGGACGAAAATTTCTATTTTTTCTCTTGGTTCCAGCCTTGAGCACCTGGAACAAACAGGAACTTTAAGCCTCAAAAGAGAATAGCAAAGAGCAAGAGAGTGAAAAACCTTGATTCTAGTCGTGGTTTCAGCCTCGAGAACCTGGAACAAACAGGGACTTGAGAGACTCAAAAAAAGAATAGCGACGAGCAAGAGTGAAGAACCTTGATTCTAGTCATCGATGACAACGTGAATCCCCTCATTGTCCGAGACGTCATCCCTGCCACATAGCCTCTTTGCCTTTCACTCCCAATCATAGTTGCAGCTAGACGTGCAAATGTTCAAACGCGTCCACGTTTAAACGCCGTTTAAAACGTTTTTTTCAGGACAATCAAACGCTTGCCTAAAATGATTAAGAAAACACTAATATTTACTAAAGACACTTTAATCTAATATTAAGTTTATAAAACCCAACCGAATAACATAATAAAACAAATGAAAGAAGAAGCCATTTCGCTGTTCTGCTTGTCTCAGCACTGGACCAGTTCTCCGTGCTTGCCACCATAGATTCTGCTGGCCCCCCTGAACCCTGTGTGGCTTGCTGCAGCAGATGCCCATCATCGGCATCTGCTGGGTCTGCTAGCTCGAAATCGGAAAAACTGCTGCGAGATTTTTTAAGGGTTCATGGCAGGAATTGGAGGACACTGCGAATGCTGGAGCTGGAAGCATGTGATACAAGCAGAGCGGCATTGGACATGTAAGTATTGTCATGAGATTCACACTGGGGGAGCGGAGCGAGTGCGAGCACATCTTGCTGGAGTTTGGGCAAGAGGTGTGAAAACGTGCAAGGCAATGAGGGAGATCCCTTATGAAGTTCTGAAGAAACCCTAAAGAAACCCTAAAGAAACTTTTGTCTCTTTTCGCAAATAGTGCAAACGCGTTGGGAGTTTAGAACGGCGTTTTTTAACGCGTTTAAAACATTACGTTTTTTTAGTTTCATACGGTTTCCGGCAACTATGCTCCCAATCCTCGTTGCATTTCCGAGCAGAGCACGTCGATCTGCCAAATGCACCTGCACAGGCGGATGCCGGCAGATTTGTTCCCCGCGTAAGTCTGGAAGGCGTCGAGCCTGTTCTCGCTGATCATCAAGCACAACTATGGCGACACAGAGAAAGCCATGCAAACGGAGAAACAAACACAACCTCGTTGTAATAGGCTGGGACTTTCAGCCGCTTAGGATTGTTATCCAGTGCCGTTCCCAGGACTTCTTCTGGAGCAGTCCAAAAATGAACGTGTTAAGAGTTTTTTCTAGTGTCTAAATCAAAGGAACTCACTCAAAGGTGTTGGATAAGGAACAAATGTAGGTTGCGGCTTTTGGTAGAAGGTTTTTGGTCCCTCGCCAGGCTCGATGCCGCTGTTGCTGCAATTGGCCAGAATATCTTGGTCATCCTGGAACATCTCAAGTTAGAATCTCAGGGACAACGATAGGGGGGTTGAGACTCTTTTACCAGATGATATTCTGAGTTGAGTACTTTTTCCATAAATGCGACTCGTTTCTTCACGAACTCAATAATTCTCCTGTTGAAGAACGTTTTGGCATGGGTTAAATGATTGTCATTTTCCAGCACATGGCCATTAACCATGGTATCCTGAGCTTTTGAACTCGAGAATGAACCAACCGGTGGCAGCTTCAGTTCTTCAGGTACGGCTGACTGTAGCCTTCTAAATCATTCCATGGTTCTTTGAATGGTCCACCAGGAAAGTATGATCTGAAATCAACTACTGAGGTGCTCTGCAATGAGGACACACACACACACAGACAGACACACACACAGAGAGAGAGAGAGAGAGAGAGAGAGAGAGAGAGAGAGAGAGAGAGAGTTCTTGCTCTCCTTATGGTCACGTGCCCTAAAAGACATTTGCCATTTTTTTATGGTTCCAAAAGTCATAATTTTACATTGTCTAATCTTAACCGTTAAATTTTAGGATATGCCCAGAATAAATCTCCCCAAATCTCTCCATCCCATAGCTCAAACAATGACTTGTAAGGACTGGTAGTGAAATTACACAAAGCATCCCACATACCAAGCCTTTCCTGTGCGATGGTCTCAATTCGTTTATGGTCCTCGTCTGCCAAGCTGAAATCGAAGCTGTTAATGAAGCTGAAATCGAAGCTGTTAATGTTTTCCAGCAGTGTCTGGGAGTTGTAGCTCTTGACAACGGGAGCTACATGGATTTCCGTGAGCCATCGTATGATCGCCTGTACGCATGGATGAATGAAACTTAAGAAAAATATGTACCTGAGCAGGAGATTTGTGGTGCTTTAGAGCGATTTCCTGGATAACAGGATGCTCTAGTACGGATTTGCTTCCCCAAGGCTTGCCAAGACCACCTAGAGGTGACCAAGCAATCACCTGGACACAATTTCTCTTGCACAAGTCTGTCAACTGCCCTTGCTGCCACAATGGATGTAACTCAACCTTGAAGAGTGACAACACAACTTGGTAGAAGTTTTCTTGAAGATCATGGTGTTACCTGATCCACTGCAGGAGTGATCTTTGCATGTTGAAGCAAGTCGTGCAGCTTTTTCGTGCTAAAGTTACTCACACCGATTGCCTTGGCCAGCCCCTTTCGAAAGCATTCTTCCATGGCTTCCCACGTAGCCGGGATGTCCACAGGTAAGAAATCTTGCTTTGCTCTCTCTGGAAAATTCTCCAAAGTTTGTGGTCTCTCGCAGTTTAACTACCTGGATCTGTCGACACTACCTACATACATACGTACACAC